CCAAGTGTATACGCTGGGTATGAAATGGTTAAACTTGGGCTGCTGCAGGGGCAGGGAAGGGGGGGATTAACTTGGAGTCAGTGGCTCCCTGCACAGTGGGGAGACCTTTCTCGTCACTCAGCTGGAAAGTTGCTCTCTTCCTGCCATAAATCAGGGTAGTCTACACAGCCCCTCCTACTACAAGGCAGAGAGAAGCCGCCCAGGTAGCTGGAAGCCACGGCTGTCGCCTTCCCTAGCGGGCCTGGGGGAGAGGAAGCATCTCAACCCACTCACGCAGGTGGGTTAGGGTTAGGAAGAGCAACGGCCAGGGTCATGGAAGTACAGTGGAGAGGGCTCTGCATATGACCAAGTCCGAATTTTAAGAAATTGACGGCAGAGGCTAAGAAGTTTCTGCCAGGCTGTCCTGAGGTCTGTTCCTCCTCTCTAACATGCTCAGCTGCTGAGGTTGGAGGTTCGAGCCCACCCAGAGGTATCTCAGAAGAAAGGCCTGGTGATCTACTTCTGAAAAACCAGCCACTGAAAACCCTATGGAGTTCTACTCTGACACACATGGGATTGCCATGAGTCAGAAATGACTTACCGGCAATTTTTTTGGTTTTAGAAAGAGCTGCTGGGGGAAGGAGTTAAAATGCCTTTCTCTCTGGGTGCGCCAGGTCTCCAGGGAGGCTGGCACTGCTGCGCCAAGCTGTGGCCATGACAGCTCTATGGACACCCTAAGTTGGTCACATCCATCATCCTGGGGCAGGGTAGGGTGGCATGGGAAGAGTCAGAGAGACCCTGGGCAAGGTCTAGAGGGGACTCCTAGTGACAATGACACCGAGGGACCTCCGAGGAGCTGGAGAGGGGATAAAGGAGCCACTCCCGAGCAAGACGATGGTATCAACAGCTGGACTCGTTAACAAGGAGGATGCAGAGAAGTGGACGTGCAAGAGAGATTTGGCAGGCAAGAGCAACAGGACTTGATGGTCAGATGGCTATAGAGGGTGGAGAAAAGAGAGGGTAACGGATTTTCCCTACAATAAAAAACAACCTCCTCCTCGTCATGGACCACAAAGACTTACCTGCTGTGGCTCCAGCCACGTCTCCAGACACACCTTTCCCCTGAACCTCCTGTTCTCTAAAATCCAGTCAGTTGTGTCATAGTTCGGCTGCCCAGAGTTTCCTCTGCCTTCCCCTCTCAGCCCTGTCAGCCCTCCTGCCTGAAACACGCCATATGTGGGAGTATTTACAATTACTTGAAATGCCCTGAAATCTCACAGCTCCTTGTCAAAAGAAACTTGGTAGAGATTTTCCCAAGTCTGACAAAATACTAAATATTTTCACCTCAGTACCAATAAGAATTGCAAAGGTGAAAAAACTTTTCCTAAATTCTCAGACTAAAAACGACTGCTCTATCCAGTCCAAGTATGAGCAACCGTATCTCTTCCTTTTTGATTACTGTGGTAAAATATGCATAACATAAAACTGGTTGTTCTAGCATTTTAACGTGTTCAATTCAGTGGCACTTAGTGTATTTACAATGTTGTGCAATCATCACCGCTATCTAGTTCCAGAACGTTTTCATCACCCCCAAAGGAAACTCTGCCATGTCCATTAAGCAGTCACTTCCTGCCCTCCTGCCCTGCCAGCCCCTGGCAAGCATTAATCTACTTCTCTCTATGGACTTGCCTATTCTAGGCATTTCATATAAATGGAGTCATACAATATGTAGCTTTTTGTGTCTGGCTTCCTTCACTTATGCCATTTTCAAGGTCCATCCATGTTGTAGCATGTATCGACACTGCATTCCTTTTTTTTATAGTTAAAAAATATTGCACTGCATGGATGAACCACATTGTCATAGCTGTCCTCAGGGGAGCCAGAGGGGAGTAGAGTCCCCGTGTGGGTAGATGCATTCAAGGGGCTGGAAAATACGAACAGGAGCACAAGAAGAATCCTGATCAAAATGTGGAAAATGCAGAACAGAATTTCAAGTTCTCATGGACTCCAGACTTTCTGGAGCCATGAAGGCTGGATGAACCCCTGAAACTATTGCCTGAGATAATCTTTAAATCTTAAACAAAAACTATCCCCTGAAGTCTTCTAAAAACCAAACAATAGTTTAGCTTAAAAAAAAAAAAAATGTTTGCCTTGACAGAGCGGGTCAGGAGCTGGTTGTGTGGGTAGATGCATTCAAGGGGCTGGAAAATACGAACAGGAGCACAAGTGATGCCGGGCTTCTCAGCGGAGGCGCTGCAGCCCCTGGAAGCACCTGTTAACTCCACCTGTGGTTTCCCAAACCTGTAAGAAGGGTTCAAGGGGCTGCACGAGCCAGAGATTCTGGCAGGGCACTTAGCTATGAGTTGAAATAGACTCAATGGCACCTAACAACAACAACTGAATATACTAGTAAGGTCTTGTTTAAAAACAAACAAACCCATTGCTGTTGAGTCAATTTCAACTCACAGCAACCCTACAGGACAAAGTAGAACTGCCCCATAGAGTACCCAGGGAGCATCTGGTGGATCTGAACTGCTGACCTTTTGATTAGCAGCCAAGCTCTTAACCACTTTGCCACCAGGGATCCAAGGTCTTGCTTAGGACTTCCCTAATTCTTCTCTAATTAATCCATTATGGAAATGCGTATACAGATTATCTATAGGTGCTGGGAGTGGAAGTCTGGCTGAAGCCCCCTGCTCTAAGCTCTATTCTCCAATCAAGTTCTAATTTACCAGAGAGGCCCTGCATTGGGAGAGAGCTCAGACACCACGGTGACTAAAGATTAGTGAATATGGTACTGTAGTCTATGTCCCAATTGGCCATTGTCTTTTGCATGTACAGTCCCTCCTTGGGGAACCCTAGAGCAGAGGACGATTAGTCATAGGATCAGGCATCGAACCCTCATCCCAACACCTTAATACCCTCAACCCTCAGTGGTGGGGTCTTTGCCTTCCCTGGTCGTCACACACCTGAGGCCACTTTGGGCAGGTTGGCAGATTCAAGGTCACTGCCACGGGTTAAAACGTGAAGGTATGGAAGGGCTGACTCTCTTGATGAGGTGTCTCCTGCCTTCTCTTCATCCTCTAGCTTGCTCCCACTTCCCTGCTGCTGATTCCAGAGTTAGGAGTAGGACCTCTCAAATCTTCTTCCAGAAAGAACCTTCCGCCACCTGCTGTGAAACCTGACCACTGGACTCAGGGTTAGACAAGCTACCTACCCCCTGGGGCCTCACTGGCAAGAAGTCCTTATGGTGGTTTCTGATGAATGGGTCCAGCCCATTTTTTGCCCCTACTCTGTGTCCGTCAGTCTCCCTGTCCATCCTGCCATGAAATGGGCAGTAGCTTTCCATCACTCACCTATTTCATAATTGATTCTCTCTTTTTTTAATGCACAATATTTATTGTCAAGCCATTTTCAACTGTGAATCGTAACTGATTCTTATGTTTTCACTCTTGCTGCAAGCTAGGGCAGTGACTAACCAGTGTATTTATTCCTGTGGTCTATCTCCTCACTTAGCTGCACACTGAGTATTTTTTCCCCCAAATCCCCACTCCCAACACCTACCCAAAACAGAGATCAAAGTGCGAAGGAAACCTTTTCTTAAATGAAAGTAAAATCAGGGCTTCCTTCCAGGGGTGGTATAGGCATGGGTCAGAAATTCTTCCCCCTGAGTCCTGCTTAGAATGGTGTGGACTCACCTCACTCCAGGCACTTTAACTGCCTTCCAGGTCCCCGAATGCTCCCACCACCTTCTACCGCAGAGCCTTTGCATGTGCTGTTCTCTCTTTGCTCGGCTATCTGTGATTTAGCCTTCAAGTCCCAGCTTCAACGTCACTTCCTTGGGAAGCCCTTCTCTGACCCCTGCTCTAAATTGGAAGCAGGGCCCTGAATCCCCAACACTCTTCCCTGGAATCAGAGCTGGACAGGTATTCAGTCTACTCCAGCCGACTTTCCACCCTCCCTAGGTGGAAAGTGGACCAGGGAGAGGAAGGCTGCCTGGCCCCGACTGCCTAGTATCAAGTACCCTGTATGTTTCCTTTTAAGCACCTGCCGTAATCTGTCATTTATATTCATTTGCATATTTGTCTAATATCTGTATCCCACACCAAACTTCAAATCTGTGAAAATGGAGGCCACACAGTTTTATTTTCCACCATCTCCACATCCCAAGTCCAAGGCAGGGCACATAATAAACCAAAAACCAAACCCGTTGCCGTCGAGTCAATTCTGATTTATAGCGACACTGTAGGACAGAGAACTGCCCCACAGGGTTTCCAAGGTTGTAAATCTTTACTGAAGCAGACTGCTACATCTTCGAACCACCAACCTTTCTGTTAGCAGTCAAGTGCTTTAACCACTGTGCCACCAGGACTCCTTTAGGGCACACAGTAGGTCCTCAAAAATGTTTGCTGAGTAGACATACGAATAACCAATCACCTTCTTTGGTCTAGGTTCTGTTGATAGTGCTTTCCTTCAAGCCTGCACTCCAGATCTCTCTAATGACCATCTCTGCAGGCCCAGACTTGGAGAACAGTCCCAAGTGTTCCATCCTCTATCCAAAAGGCAACTCCGGCAGTGTCCATGTTTCTGAGTCTCGACTCATCATAAGCACTGAAGATAAGGTCAGCTGAAACTGGCCTTCACCACAGCCCCTTCATAACTGTTTTGTTCATATTTTGCTATGGAACCATCCTCAAAATTAGTGGTGTAAAGCAGAACAGCTGGGAGGCCTTCTGCCTTCTGCACTCCCGTGTTTATCTTGGCTGAGAGCTGCTCAGGCTTTTTGCAGCCAATTCCACCAAGGCAAAGCTGGAGGAGATGGAACATGGGCTCACAGAGGAGGGAGCGGAAGGGGCCTCAGATGGGGAAGTGGAGGTGGTCATATAGTGATGGCTGACTGGGATGAGAACCCAGGACTCGTGACTCCCGGGGCGGGGTGCTCAGCCCACTGCACTGTGGAGTTTCCCGCGTGGGTGACAAATTTGAGACAGGCCTGAATTCCACTCTGCATTGACACCCACCTTCCTCCAGGAAGGAGTTTGAGGGCTCAAAGGTACCTGAAATTGTGCCATACCAGAAGTGTGTCTCCTGCTTCTGCTCCTCAACACACACAGATACACTCGGACACCTGTACTCCAGCTTCCTGGGACTCGGCCGCGACAGCAGGGTCTCAAAGGAGGCCCAAGTGGCCTGGGATCCTGGGCCGTGCCCCACCACGTCAGCCCATGATTCTCAGGTCTTGATTCAGAGCTGCCTCCCCCGAGGCCAGTGCGGACCCTCCCATGTCCTGTTCCACACAGATGCTGGGGGTCACGTGTCCCACAGCTGAAGGCCTTCCCTGCCGCCTCCACCATCTGCTGAGGCCCCAGTAATTATCCAAGGCTGGTGCAGTCTCACTCGGAGGGGAGAGTTCACGCAGGCCTGTAATGTAACCCAGGCCCTCGGCTGCTTGGGCGGGGGGTCCCCAGCTGGGTAATGAGCAGGCTGCTTTATTGAATTCCCTGGCTTGGGTCTGACTAATCACTGACGCAGCCTGGGCTTTCTGAGAACCCATCTGAGCTCCCTGCCAGTGTTTCTTTCTGGCACCCCAACTCCTGCTCCTCAGATCCTTCTTCCTCCCCAAGTATACCTAATTGACAAGGATCAGAGCAGGAGGCTACAGAGGGTAGGCATCCCCCATCCGTTTAGGAGAAAGAGAGGCTGCCTCCGGGCTCGGGGCCTGAGCAGGGGGGACCAGAATGGCTGCTGGGTTGACTTTGCAGGGGCCGCCCCATGGGGAGCAAGACCTGCAACTCCCACCCCTCCCCTGTCTCCTAAACCTGCCCACTTCCCTCTCACCTCCTCTTTCTCGGCCCCGTGGAGGGAGGGCCTTGGCCAGGAAGGCCAGACTGTAGGCCAGGCATTTGCAAAGAGAGGTGTAGGAGACGACCTTCACCCCTCGTCTTGCAGACTCCTGCTCAGGCTTCGAGACCCACCCCATGTCGCGCCTGTGCAGCAAGCAGCAAACCTGAGGCCCCCTCCCTCCTCTCTGCTCCCAGCCTTGTAAGGACCTCCTGTCGGGTGTTCATGGTTCTTGTTGTGCACTGTCGAGTCGATTCCGACTCATAGGGACCCTATGTGACATAGTAGAACTGTCCCATAGGGTTTCCTAGGCTGTAATCTTTGTGAGGGAGCCCTGGTGTCGCAGTGGTTAAAGAACTTGGCTGCTAACTGAAAGGTTGGCAGTTCTAACCCACCAGGGGCTCCAAACCCACCAGGGGCTCCATGGGAGAAAGATGTGGTAGTCTGCTTCTGTAAAGACAACAGCTTTGGAAACCCTATGGAGCAGTTCTACTCTGTCCTATAGGGTCGCTATGAGCCGGAATCAACTCGATGGGAACAGGTCTAGTTTGTTTTAAATCTTTATGGGAGCAGATCGCCAGCTCTTTTCTCCCTCGGAGTGACTGATGGGTTCGATCTGCCGACCTTTTGGTCAGCAGCCAAGTACTTAAACACTGCACCACCAGGGCTCCTTCCCAGTGTCTCTTTGCAGGCTTGTTTTCTGGTATAGACTATGCCCTTTCTGTAGACTGGGACTGCTGTGTGTCTCAATGTACCCACAACGTAGCACATAGTAGGTGCTTTAAAATGCATTTGTGGAAGGAAATAAATGAGGGAAAGAGAGAGGAGACACTATGAGAGGTAAGAGGCTTGGTCTGTTTATGAGCACCATGGGCAGCTGTGACGCTGGCATAGGTGTCAGTGTGGCCATCCGTGTGGCCGTCTGTGTGTGTGGCTGAAGCCTTTGGCCTGGTTGATTTGGGAAATGGTGTCAGCTGTGTTGTCAAGACCCTAGTGGCTCAGGAATTGTTATGCTCAGGGTGAACCTGAGGTCAACGGTCACCAAGAGTTCACTGTCTGGGTGTGACTTCCTGCTAGCTACACCTAGAGCAGGTCTGAACCCACCCCGGAGCATGTGAAGGGTTCACGGCCCCTCTACTCTCACAGTGGTGGGGGCTGGAGGGGGCTCTTCTGAGACGAAGGCAGAGCCGGCCCTCCTCCTGACCTCTCACCCTGAGGGGCAAGAGTGTCAGAGCTGTGCCTGATGTCCGTGGGGAAGGGGTGGAAGGCACGGGACACCCACAGGCCAGCCCAGCTGGCCCAGCCCAGGTTCTACTCCCTAGTTCAAGTCTGAGGAGGGGGAGGCCTGGTGGACGCTGGGAGTGGGCAGCTAAACCTGCCCAGCTGGGGACCCTCATTTGGTACCAGGGATTGATGAGGCTGGGCCCTCACCACCCACCGGAGAGGAGTGTGAGAGAAACAGAGTCAGACAGACAGACAGATGCGGGAGAGGCAGGGACGCATTGAGGGAATGAGTTCCGAGGGACTCAGGCTGCACCCGCTGAGGGAGGGGCCTCATGGAGGAGATGTCAGAGGGCCCCCAGCACAGCTTATAAAAGCCACTCTCCTGGGGCAACAGCAGGGGCTGAGTGGGGGCGCCTTTCTAGAGGGGCTGGGGCTCACTTAGGGTCATGTGCAGAGCATAGGATTGGGGTCAGGGAGGTGATGGTGGAAGCTAAGGGGCCCTGGGCAGGCCCAGTTTAACCTGTCTGTGACTCGGTTTCTCCTTCCGCACAGCAGAGCTCACAGCAACACCCCGCTGCCTGCCTCCTGGGGCTGGTGTGAGGGTTAGCAGTGACGATGTCGGTGAAAACGCTGTGTGGGCTCCGAGCCCTGATCAGATGTTATTTATTATTCTGAGCTGTGTTTTGGTGGGAGACTTGGACGGGCTGAGAGGGAGAGTGGGAGTGTTCTAGGGCCCCTTCTTCCCTGATGCTGTTTTGAGAGTTCTCGGAGCAGAGTGCCCAGAATGGGGCCCGGGGAGGGAGAGGCCTGCGGCGCTCCACAGGACCGTGTTGGGCAGACGGCTTTCTCCAGCAGCCCTGAGTAGCTGGGGTTGGATGGACTAGTCTTCCTCTGCTTTTCTGATGACTTGCCCCCCACAACCTCTGCTCTGTGCCCTCTTCTCCCAACACCTCATCCTGAGCCTGCCCTCTCAGCGGTGGCCCAGAAATCAGCCTCCTCTCCCTGGATCCTTGTCCTCATGTAATGGGGCTGCGACAATTTTTCCAAGTCCTGCTTAGAAATGTGTCACTGTCCATTTCCCTTTGAGACATCAAAGGAGGCTGTGCCCTCCACCCGCCGCTCACAAACCACGTTCTTTCAAGCGCTGCATCAAGGCCCCTGCTCCGAGCAGCTGGAACACGGGTTTATAAAATTACAGGGAATTCAAAGCAGCCGGCGTCGCCCGCTGTCTGGCTCCATTACTGGGAGCGGCCTCAGAGGCGAGGTTTATTCCAATAATTTAGGGGATTAAGGTCTGACACCCTTCATTAGCTGTTTGACATGAGCAGAAAAGGCAGGTCTTGCAGCAGGACCCACGCGATGGGGAGGAATCAGCTCAGGAGGGGGGAAAGCAACACGCCACCCAGCTAGGAAGAGGGAAAGTCTGCCAGGTGGAAAAAGAATTAGGTTGTCTCTTTACAGTCAAATTAGATGGTGAACTATAGCCCTGAAGGGGGAAGCGGAGCTGGAGGAAGGAGGTGCCTGGGCTCAGGACTCAGTTTTCCCATCTGTAAAATGACAGCATTGCTGGGGGCCTTCAAGGTTCCTTCCAGCTCTATCCCGGGGACACATAACAACTCTGTTACTGGTTTGTGGTTTGGCCTTGAAAAGGCACCTATTTCTTCTGAGGAACGGTCTCACCCCACCCCAACCCCACAGGGATCAAGTGACCAATGCAAAGACGCTCAGCCTGCTTGCTTTTCTGTGGCATTTTGGAGACAAGCCACTTCCTGCCAAGTAGTGGAGAAATCACCCCCATTCCCTGGCTCTCGCCCCTGGTGACTCCACAAATACAGCCCCTGATGTTTCCAAAACCTTTGTCCAGCCTGTGAAAGCCAGAGTTTGGGTGGTTCTGACAGATGGGTGGGGAATGGGTAGCTTCCAAAGGCTTCTGCCCACACCCAGGTAAGCTGGTTTCCCTGCTTCCTGTGTTAATGGTGGGATCCTGGAGCTGTGTGACACGGGGCAAGTTACCTAACCTCTCTGTGCATCCATTTCCTCAAATCTAAACCAGAGGCACAGTTTGTTGTGAGGATGAAATGAAAGGACGCATACAGAGAACCTGGCACATGTAAGAGCCCGATAAATATTATCTATTGTTATTATGACTGTGTGTGACCTTGGGCCAGTCACTTGCCCTCTGAACTTGAGCCTTATCCTTTGCAAAGTGAGGGGAAATGGGATCATGCCTGTGAAGTTCTGGGCACTCAGAAAGAGCTCACTAGTAGCAGCCATGATGGTCATTTGCGAGGGCAGCTGTGTTGTCCAGCTCGCTCTTGAAACACTGTTACCGTGTAGGTTTTCTTGGAGCTGACAAGTGTGTCAACCCAGGAGCGAGGAATGTGATCCGTCCCGGCAGCCGGGGGAGCCGGAGCGTATCTGGTATGTGTCTCTGAAATTATTTGGGGAAAATTCACCAAGGTTGGAACTTGAGAAGCAAACGGCTTGGGACAGAGAGATACAGAGCTGTCCGCGCGCAAGCCCCCCACAAAGGCCCTGCTGCTGGGGTAGGAGTCGGCTTACAGAGCACAGCCTGCTCAAGCCTTCCCTGGAATGGCCGTGAACTTGTTGTTTTTCCACGTCATTTGCTCTCAAACGTACTATCAGGCCAGGCGATGCTAACCCGGGCGGCTGCAGGTCCCTCCTTGTAACAAGCGATTGTGTGTTCTTTAGAGGTGGCCAAAGGGGAGGAGAGGGCCTGGCCACGGGGAGGTGGGGTAGGGGAAAGGGAAACAAATCCCTTCTTTACAGGGAGCTTGCGTGTCCTGGAGCCAGCTCCCCCCAAAGCACATGCCATTTCTGGCCCCTGAAGGGGTTAAAGGCCTCCTGGAGCTCAAAAACAAGCAGGTGTCCCACCGTGCCAGATATAGCCGCCTAAACTGCTTCCAACTTTTTTTTTCCCCTTCTGCAACAAGTCTGCGATCGGCCACAGGACAGAGGAGCCAGCTGCCTGCCTGTGACAGGAGTCAGGTTAGCTCGCTCCCACTTGGGTGCGCCCAGGATATAAATCCAGCTGGGGCCCCTGCTGCGGCTCCGCTCTGCACGCTCAGGAGAAGAAGTTTCCTTCCAAAGACCTTTCTTTTATCTGACGCTGGCAGCCCAGCAGGCTGCACTGACTCGGTGGAGGCAGCCGCAGCAGCTGTAGCAGCAGCCTGCGGCACGAGGAAGCCTGCTGGGGTGGGGAGGGGCAGGTGTCTCCAGCCCCTGGCGTTGTCACAGGGGAGGTCTCGGTCACCGAAGAACTGCACCATGCGGGCCCTGGGGTGCCACCAGTTCTGGTCCCACTGGGGGCAGGTGGCAGCGCTGCTGCTGCTGCTGCTTGGGGTGCCCCCACAAGGTGGGGCGCTGCCGCCCATCCGCTATTCGCACGCTGGCATCTGCCCCAACGACATGAACCCCAACCTCTGGGTGGACGCCCAGAGCACCTGCAAGCAAGAGTGTGAGGCAGACCAGGTGAGTGGGTGTGTGGGTGGGGGGAGCGGGAGCCGTGGGGTGCAGATAACTCAGAAGAGCCTGCAGGGCCCAGGAACGTGGAGGACCACGGGTCATCCACATGGAGGCTCGTCTGGTAACTCAGAGGCCCGAACGAAGAGGCAGGTGTGATGTCCAAGTTCCCCAGGGACTGGGAATCATGGATTCCTCACCTCCTGCTTGCTGAGGGCTGCTGTGAGCCAGCACTGTGCCAGGCTCATGGTGTGGATTGGCACTACACGTCAGCAAGCTAGGCATCAGCATCCCCTTCACAGGCGAGACAGCAGACGCACAGAAAGGTGCAGTAAGCCTTGATGGAAGGGCGGGGCTGAAACCTGTCTGCCTGACCACAAGGCTTATGCTCCATCGTGCCCTCCAGGCTGCCTCCCCTGGTGTTCGGACCCT